GTGGTTATCTCTTAAAAAATGACTGGGTTCATGTTCTATATTGAACCATGGAGGAAATAACCATGGAGGAAATATAGAATATATTTCCTCCATGATTGAACATAGTATCTCTAGTTGTAATTTATTTTACGACTCCCAGCGAGAGCGTGCGTCTACTAGTTTTAATTAGAAATTCAAAATGATTAATCAAACAACCAATTTATCTGTCTGAGTCTCAGGCTTAGCCAGCGAGCCGTCGGTCGTCTTTTGGACGGCCTACAATTATTTAGGACGGCCAATTCTACCGTGACGGCTTTGACGGCTTGGCCTAATCAGTTCGGCCTAGCCTAGGGCCTGGTCTACCTTTAGCAAATTTTTATATTCTTCAAATTTATCGAATGTTACATTAAACTAAAGCTAAATCATATTTAAGTTTGATAAAAACAACATTTATTGATTGAATGTAGGCTACGTTGTTTTCGTTCTAATATTTGGTGGGAATTTCCGTGGCCCGCGCCCATCGGTTCAGTGCCACGCCCATTGGCTTCCATTTTGGACGGCCTATTTCGTTTTCCTGGCTAAACCCAGTCTATTGTATCTAGATTACATTATTTTTTTTTTATCATACTTTGTAAATATACTCGTAATTCAGTAATGTTTTAATATTACGGCAATTTGTTTGCTAATCAATGCTAATTACGGTAACATAGTACATGACTATCAAAATAATTAATATATATAAAAAAACAACCGCTAGTTAATACTAAAAGCTTAGTATGTCATCAAAACAGCATACAAATCGTTGTAGCCTTGGCAACATTTGATTAAAATATAAGCTGCAGGCAAGAATGTGTCATAAAATAGATCGCTCGAACTTTTTACTATCAAAATAAAGAAAAAGAACCGCTAGCTAATAGCTTAGTGTACTATGTCATCAAAACAGCATACAAATCGTTGTTGCCTTGGCAACAGAATTAAAATATAGGATGTCGGCGAGATCGTGTCACAAAATGAATCGCTCGAACTCAACAGCGGCGGAACGTTTTTGAAAGTGGGGTGGGGGAATTTCACAAGGTCCAATATGCGAGCGAAGCGAGGATCTAGGCTGGGGGCGAGGGGGCCGCAAGGGGCCCCTGGTGGGGGTCCAGGGAGCAAAGCCCCCTGGAAGCTACGGATATTTTACGAAGTTTGATGAATTTTATAAGTTATTTTATAAGCATCAAGCTACTCTAATATGACTTAATATAATATTTGTTGTAATTTCCAGTGGTGGATCCAGGAATTCGAAATAGAAGGGCCCAGGGAGGATACTTTTACAGATGGAAGATCTATACTACCCCAGCCCCACCATCATGGGACTGAAGTAGTATAGATCTTCCATCTGTGAAAGAAGAATAAGAAAAGTTATGTTTATGGCACCTCCAGATGGCCGGAAATGGCACTCTCATTAAAAGTTGAATACAATTTTGTCTGTTTTCTCAATTTTTTTTTATAATTTTGAAAAAAAATTAGAATGTTGGGGGCCCGTGCTGACAGGGTACCCCCTTGAATAATAATAATAATAATAATAATAATAATAATAATAATAATAATAATAATAATAATAATAATAATAATAATAATACTGTAATAATAATAATAACAATAACAATAATAATAATAATAATAATAATAATAATAATAATAATAATAATAATAATAATAATAATGACAATGACAAAAATATTTATTTCCTTTGAGCATGAAAATTTACAAAAAATATAAATGTACAACTTTTTTAAAGATCAAAGAAAATGGGAAATTCCTGAAGCATAGCTTGTAAATGGAAATCCCAAGTTACATAATTAAATATTTCTTTTACATAGGCCTATAAGGTTCAAAAATAATTCAAAGGCCTATTTTACTTAAATTAAAGAAGTTTAAAATTTAATAGAAAAATTATATTTCTTTTCTGTAGATTATATTTTGTATTCATTAATAACAACATCTTAATTAATTTTAGTTTCTTTATATTTATAGATGATTAAGCAATAAATTAAGTACAGTGTCTACAATCTAAAATAATATAAGAGAAAATTTGTAAATAATAAGTTAATCTGACTTCCTATAACTATAATGTCTTCTTACTAATAACAGCGACCGTAAGTTTTAATAATAAAATAAACTGTTAAATCGTTATACATATATATACCTATATAGATATACCTATATCCTATATACTCATATATTATATGTATGAGTATATAGGTATAAACATAATAATAATAATAATAATAATAATAATAATAATAATAATAATAATAATAATAATAATAATAATAATAATAATAATAATAATAATGACATTGCAGCGTTCGTAAAATGTTTTCACTGGTGCTGGGAACAGTCACAAAAGTGGGGTCTCCCAATATAAAAAGTGGCCCACTGGTAGGAGGGAGGGTTATGGAGTAGCGGTTGTACAGGTCACAAGATATTTCCTAGTATCCAGGTGCCAAAGAAGTCGTTCACCAACCATGGTGGGGCGTTCAGGCCACACAGCTATAAATCCGGTATCCGTAAATATAGGAAACTTGTGTAAGGCCAAATAAGGCCCTATTGGTTAAAAAAAAATAACTTTCCCTACCGATTTTTTTTTTCTGGCCTAATGGCCGGTTGCAAAATGCTTCCGACGACTATGCTTTATCAATTTTGTTTTCATTATTGTGACGTAATGTAATCGGTTTCTTCTTAACGCTTTGGCTGATCATTCGTGTGTAACTTCGATACTGACTGCCTCATTGGACGTTTTATATTTTTACAGTGGGCTTGTTGGACTGGTTTCGTTGAGTATTATTTTCATTCGACTGGTTTGTTAAATCATAGAGAAAATAGAACAGAATAGACAACGACAATTAACGTAACCAGAATGCGTTAATCACGTGACCAAAAAAAAATATGGCCGATTGGTCAGTTTAGCAACAACACTTGCGTTAATATAATTTAGATTAAATTTCAGAAAATAAAGATTATAAAATTTACCCACATTGAAGTCAAAAAATAATTGTAGACCGCAACAGAATTCAAAAACTGGATGAAAAGATTTTTTTACGAAAACCCATACTGCCACAATCCGAAGCAGCCTTGATTACGCAGCGTGTATGACGGTAACTCTGCAACCATTTTGTTTCGTCGAGTATTTACCAGTTTTCTATTCGACTGATCGTCTTCGTTAAGTAGGATTTTACCACTGCGCAGTTGGGCGTGGTTTAAGAACAAGTCGAATACAGCGAATATTTATCATGGCTTTAACATAACCGCTTGGTTTCTGAGACTATCGTAATCAAGTGATGAAAGTTAGGTGAAAGTGGACAGCTTCAGAAACTTTTTTCGTACTAGTTTCGTACTAGAAAAAATTGTAATTATACACAAGATTACGACAATTTTTTTCACAAACATTCCTGTTAAATTATCTACTACTTTGCCAGTGGAAGACTGCGGAAAACATATGGATGTATTAACGAATAATACGTCAGCTCGCACAGAACTGCACGATCCCTTGGTGTTGGTCTTAGTCCGTTTGATGTTGGCTTGTACTGGTATCATCGCGAACTCCATTGTCATGTTTGTGTTCATCTACAACAAAACTTACAAAAAGTCACTCTCACGGAAATTACTTCTCCATCAGACTGTGATTGATCTGACCGGCTCTGTGATGTTTTTGATCTTCTACAACACTGATGTTCCTGATGGCACTGGTGGAACCATATTCTGTAAAATGCAATTTCTTTTTGTGTACACGTCGGCGACATCAACATTCAATTTTGTTATGCTTACAATTGAACGTTATACTGCCGTCGTACACCCATTGTTGTATCGCCAGAAATCTTTGGACGGAAAATTTAGGTACCTATCGCTCATTAGCCCCCATGTCATCGGTTTAATTCTAACAGGGAGTATCCCAATACACGCGGATATACACCCTACTGTGAAAGAATGTAAACCTACGGAAATCAACGCAGGCACTGGTGTATTATCAATTGTTGTCAATTGGATGATACCTGTTTGCATTATGCTATACTGTTACGTACGAATGATGTTAAAATTACGGAAGAAACGAACAGTTAGCCAACAGCCTTCGTCTGAATCGCAACCCAGAAATTTTGGACGAGTTCAGACGTTCAAGTCTGACCTGTTGAGTACACTGATCCTAATTGCATCTGTTTATATTGTTACAGTAACTCCATTCTCTGTTTTTTACTTCATTTATTTCATATCAGATAATTATAATTATATATTTCATGAGCTGAGTGTGATGTTTCTGGAATTAAATCTCACTATCAATCCATTCATCTACTGTTTGGTGTATAAGGATTTTCAACGAGGACTTTACAAGATCAGACAGGACATATTCCTCAGTTTAGAAACTCCAAATACATAAATATCATTTAAACCAGCAGCTTTTTGCCTGATGACCCAAATGAACGTCCAGGTAATTGACTCTGCTAATATTGAAAACTTGCTTGTTCCATAAATTCAGACAATACATCTTTAGTTTCATTGCATAAACTCTAAATTGTAAAATTTCAGGTAATATATTATTTTGTTATCTTTTGTTTTAATTTCTGGTACTGGAATAAAAGGAATGTAGGTAAAAAATGGTCCCTGTAAAAATGGTCCAAAATGATATGTACGTAAAAATGATATAATTCTGTATGAAAACTGATCTTTTTGTTTAAAGAGGAATAATTTAATTTTTAAAAAGAATCTAACATCAAATAAATTGCAATTTATATTTTACTTTTTGCAAGAATTATATATCCATATAGATAAAAAAAAAGTGATTAATAATTTTTTTTTCATTTAAATGTTGAAAAATAGGTATAATTTAATCAATAAATCATGCATTTTTAATACTAAAATAATTTAGATGTAACCGAATCACTCAGACACTCACCCTCAATTTCAAGGAAGTGGAATCACAATTTCCAAAAATGTTTAACTTTAATCTGGGTATTGCTAAACCCTGCAAAAAATAAATTGTTATGAACATCAAATTATTATTTTTTAATGAGATTCATAATTAAAGGACTTGGATGTGGTTCGCGGTGTTGTTGGAGGTTTGCGGTGTATTTGCATGTATTTTTTACAAAAAAAAAAAAAAATTCTTATGAATTATTTTCCGATTTTCTTATTGATGCAAGTGGGTCAATCACAATTACATGGTGTGGGTTTGACCACAGAGCCGTTGGAATCGCACCGGCTTTGGCCTCACCACTTTTTCTCAATTCAAATATTTTAAAATAAATACATAACGATAATATGTATGAATTTATTATTAATGTTCGCATCACATTGTCTTTTTTTTTGTTATACATTTAAATAAAATTCCACCATGCGCTTCTTTTGTATCCTATGTACATTAAGATTTTTTAACAATCCTACATGTTAGTAATTATTATAAATTTTGAAAATGTTTAGAGGTATAAAATTTAATAACAATAAACTATTTAAAATTTTGGGGGTTGAAGTCGGCTAAACTGTATTCACTACACAAAGGTACGGTTCAAACCGGCCCTGATTTCTTGCATTCTAAATTTAAACCACTTAAAGTGAAGAACATCCATTTTGTCTAAAGTATCCACATGTCCTATTTCCCGGCAGAGGAGTCATTTTTTCAACCATGGTGGAGCCAAGATGGATCGTATCCTCCACTTCCATTAACTTCAAATCTTGTGTCTGCCCCATATTCATGGGGTTGAAATATGTAGCTACGTTCAGGTTGCTACTGCTATTTCTTGAAATCTAGATATGCCATATTTTTTTCAAAATGTGTTTGCATCAGTCGGCCAACCGTGTTGGTTGGGTTGAATAAGTATCAATATCCCCACTTAACTTTACAAGTGTGTGTCACTTTCTGGCGTCTAGAGCTGCCAATTTATTTTTTCTAAAATTCCCCACCTCATCCCAACCATGGTGGGGCTGAGGAGGGTATAGTCTCTATCTCCATGCTAATTTGAAATATTGTAGCTTCTCCTCGGGGGAAAGGGTAGTAGCAGATCCACAGGTTGCCAGCAGGGTTTCTGGACATCAAGAGGTGCCAAAAAAAAAGTTGTTCACCATCATGGTGATGGGGTAGGCATAAGGCGGGTGTGCACTCAAACCCCAATAACTTTAAATCCCGATCCGTGCATGTAATAAATCTGCAGTTTAGCAGCCAGATTTGTTAAGGGCCACGCCCACCCCCACTACTACCTTCAGCTCTTATTTCTTATAATGGCCATACCACTTGCAAAATGCTTCCAACTGCTATGTGCACCCTTTCCACCGAAGCCCTTTGCCACCCGAAACAATAATATGAATAATACTCTAGGCCTAATCATATTTCCACGAGTTGCCGGGTATTGCACTTTTTATTACCCAGTCAGCATGCTGCTGACTGGGTTCAGTTTCCGAGCAGTTTCTTCTTTATTTCTTCCTGGCAACATTTTAAAAGGCTACTAGTTGCAAACTACTGGACCGATTTAATTAAAACTTGTTTAGTAGGACCGGTGCCACCTCCCATTTATGTGTTGTTCACAACTTGGGGTCAAAGCAAGGGTGGCGCCAGGACCTGCCCGACGGAGGGCTAAAGGCCCCGATGGGGGGGGGGGGCTAGTGGAGCGAATCGAGTCTCACTTGGCTGGGGGCCAGGGGGCGCCCAGGGCCCCCGGTGGGGGTCCAGCCACGGATATTTGATGAATTATGGCGAATTTTTATTACTTATTTGAAAGGCATCGAGTTACTATAATATGACTTCATGTAGGCTATGCTTTCTAATGTTGACATCAGCTTCCAAAACCAAAACATTTTGAATAAAGCAAGAAACAAAGAGTATGCAATGTAACAATCTAATTTATTTTCAAATCCTCATTCTTGAAAGTGAAATTCTATATTTTGGAAATTTTGCATGAAATCTGTCATGGTCGAGGTTTCTTCAACTATCACGATGTATTCATTCATTCATTTCATTCATAAAAGTATTTTATTCAAAAATAATTGTAATTGCAGTATTAAAGACTGAATTGTAACAATTTTACAAATTCAAAAAAATACACATTATAAAAGGCAAGAGAAAAACTTGGAACAGACATTAAAACCACCAGGCACTAAAAATTTTAAAAATATTTTAAAAATCTATACACGACAACAAATACATAAACTGATGAGACATGCAAAATGGTCCCCCAGCCCCTCTGGCGCCGCCCCTGGGTCAAAGGTCACAAAGCGGGTAGTGTCAAAAAACCAAAAATCGTATAAAAGACTACTCCTACTTGTCTCACAAATAACGTAGCACAGTCTTGTCCCTTGCACATATACATTAGCATAAGACAGGGTCTATGGGGGTGTTCAGGGATAAGGGGTCAAAGGTCATTAAAGGGTAATTTTTATCTTTTTTCTGGCAACATTTCAAAACGCTACTAGTGCCAAACGGTTGTGCCGATTTTAACCAAACCTGGTCAGTATAATCGGTGACACCTCTCATACATGGGGTGTTCACTGCTTGGGGTCAAAGGTCACATAGAGGTCCTTATGGTAAAAAAACTTTCTATAAATGAAAACGACTTCTTCTGTAAATAACATAGCACAGTCTTGTCCTGCGCACATATGTATTGGCATAAGGTAGGGTCTTTATGGTATTCAGCGATTTACGGTCAAAGGTCATTAAAAGGTTATTCTTTTGTTCTCTCTAGTAACATTTCAAAATGCTAATAATGGCAAACTATTGGACCAGATTCAATCAAATTTCATCATTAAGAACCGGCGACACCTCCTACACCCCAGTCTGGGATCAGGGGTCACATACGGGTCATCGGGGTTAAATTTTCAAAATAGCCCAATTGAGCTCAGATTTACTAGGAATGATCCTTAAGACCTTCTAAACACGAAAAAATACTCTTCACCCCATATGTCAAAGTTCATAGGTCAAAGATTCAAAATGTTACTAATGGCAAACGATTGAACTGAATTCAATCAAATTTGATAATTAAGAACCAGTGACACCTCCTACACCCCTGTCTGCCATCAGTGGTTGTATAGGGGTCATCTGGGTCAAATTTTCAAAAAAGCCCAATTGAGCTCGAATTTACCAGGAATGATCCTTAGTAGTACGGCAGCTTAGGTAGGGCCATATTTGGAATTAATGTTGACGTTCCGGACAAAAGCACCAATTTTTTTTTTGCATGCTCCTTATGGTCATAGCATTCAATTTTTGGTAGGAACCACCATTTCAAAATGGTAGCCTTATAAAACCTATGTTTATTTACATCTCCGCTTCTAAATCACTTTGAATTATAATTCTAATGTCTAAGAGTATGTTTATATGATCGAGGAATACCATTATATCATTTTTGACCTGGTCAGATTGCCACAAATGGGTCATTTAAGGTCATTCAAGGTCAAATATTGTATGGTATCTTTAAAATTACGTAATTGTCAAATTTTACATTAGAATCATACCCAGGCTCTCAGAATTCAAATTTTTTACTACAATATTTCATTCGAGGTCATTCTGGCGGCCACGCAAAACCTATATATATTATTATATCGGCTTTTAAACAACTTCAATAAGAATTATGATGTCTAAAAATATATTTTCATGGTCAAGGATTTAGAGCACTTGTGACATGGCCAGATGGTCATTTAAGGTCATTCAATTTCATTTCTCTGTTAAATACGCAGAATATCTTAATAGTTTGTAAGTGGTCGTGTTTTACAGCAAAATCATACATAAGCTCACAAAATTCAATTTTTGATTGGAACTACAGTATTTCATCAGAGGTCATTATGACAGCCATTTTAGGTCAAGGTCATTTAGCAGCCATATTAGTGACATGTATTTGTATTTATTATATTCCATTATATATTGAAAAAGTCTGATATCAGAAATTGTATTTAATGTGAAATGATAAATTGATATAAAAAAAGAATGGTATTATATATATGATTAATTTATGACATATATTAAATAATTATAATGTATTTCATTTATATTTACATGTATAAATATTTTATTGAATATGATCATTATCATTTTGGCAGTAAATTTTAAACATGTATATTTATCAAGTATTTATTTGTTTAAAGGTTTTCTATTTATTATCTGTTAATACTGTATACTTATGCTTATATAATATTACTTTAAATTTTTGTTTTCTTTTATTTTGTTCTAATTGTTTAATCGGATCATCTTAAAATTAGACCTATTTAGTATTGTCTTATTATGTATGTATTGACCCAACTGACCTGCTTTGGAAGTACCAACCACACAAAAATATTATTTAAATACATATTTAAAATTAATAAATAGGCCGTATAATAT